ATGATTAGTGTGTGTTTTTTGGGGTAACACATTTTGGGATGTTTATAACAGTTAAGATAATGATATGGACTTTGGCAGACTGGTCAGACTGAATTTATTTTCTGAAATTAAGGTGTAAAAATCTCAGATATTCAGACCGATGGGCAACGTTCATACAGTGTGTGACTGCCTGTCAACACAATCATGGAAAAACATGAGCAATGTTCCATTTGATCTGAGAGTTTTTCCCAAGCCTCCTTCCAACCATCTCAGAAAAAAAAGCAGATGAGTTATTCATATATCAGGGTTTTATTACTTACAATAATAAAGATGTCTCCTTGTTGAAAGACAGCCTCAGACTAAGCTCTGGCCTGGTAAACTACTTTGGTTGCATTCATAGTTGCACAGGTGTCCATTTTATAACCAATGTGCAGCCACAACAGTGTAGTACTAATTAAGCTCAATCACATTTGTAATTGAAATATTTGAACTGTACAATGCTTCATATAATGTTAACAGGCCCTGGCACGGGCTTGGTGCCCTGGTGCCAACTTAGTCAGCCATCTGATGTGCCGAGAGCAGCTCTGGCGCCTGGAAAACACTTAACATCACTCTAATCCCTGCTTATACCCGAGCCCGTGCCAGGGCCCGTTAACAGCGGGTCGGTCCCCGGGAGGCACAACAATACAGATAATGATAATTCAGTCATCAAAACAGAGCAAGCTTGATTGCACACTTCACTGGGTTTAATGTCTGTCGGGCAGCATCCCAGAATGCTTTGGTTTGGCACTCAGACAAATGTGTCCCCTCTTGATATGGAGAGCTCAAGGAGACATGGTGAATGCAGATTATTGATTGTTAACGAGGAACCTATCAATGTTAAGATGAAAAAAAAAAAAACGGCCATGACCCGGATGACTGAGAATTTGCACAGACATATCAATGTTAAGAGACAGGTTATTGTTTGGGTTATTTTTCTGTACATACCAGATTTTTATTTTCCATCGCCTTTATTTCTTATTTTTAGCTATAAAACGACAGAAGAGTGTTTCATTCAACAGAATGTCTGGTGCCCACATTTTTTCTTATGACGTTCTCTCATCCTGGCCTTGAACATCTTATTCACTAACAAGCTTACCAGTGTTAAGTGCTTTACCAGTATAGACAAAGCCTTTTGTAAGCACTGAGTCTTTGTATCTAAACCTTCACGCAGTACAGGCTCAACTCAACATAAATGCAAAATTGTCAAGAAAACTTCGACCCTTCACCCTCCTGGTTTGTATACTGTAACAGTCCAGGCAGAAAGGATGCATTTGCAGCAGCTGCGTGGTAACACACAGTCTCCGAGAGTTCTCGACAGAGATTTTAAAAACTGAGGTGGCAGTTGGGTGAAATGTGCCACATTGTAAAGCAAGGCCAAGTCTATTCATTAGAAACTGGCACGAGCTCTTAGGAGTCCTTGCTGACGGGGTGAGCGCAGCGCGACAGCTACAGCTACAGTACACAGAGGGGGCAGCCATGTTAGATGAAGTGAGCCCTGAGTAACAAATTGGGTCTGTTCCATTTCCTCATACAGTCTAACCTGGAAGAGCCCAGCTGATTGTCATTTGAGTGCAGATGATCAAATCTGGCCATAGCGTAAGAGGATTCTGAACAAAACTATGTTTAAGTGTCAAAATGAACACAACAGTCAAAAAAAGACTTGGAACAAATGCAGAACAAGCGTGTGGAGCTTTCTGCCACGCAGTATGTGAAATACAAAACGAACTCTCGTCAGTGCCACACCAGGAATTAGTATTTAATCCTATTTACCAGGATGGCCTTGCACTCCAGTGTGCATTACATTCTTTTAACAAAACTGAAAATTTGGCATCTATTGTATTTGGAATGCTTTGCCTTTACCAGTAGCAGACAACAAAGCTTTAAATCAGGTTGTGACTAAGATTGCCTGCTGAAGAGCGATTCCAAAAATGTGCCAAAAGTGATTTGAAAGGCTCCTGACATTGAAGGATAGAAACAGAAAGGGAGAGGGAAACAGCAAATCTCATCATCTGAAGAAAAATACATTTAAAAAGACAATAATACAGTGAAGGAAAGAAGGCTGTAATTAAATGAAGAATCATTAATCACACAAATTAACAAATGAGTAAAAGAAAAAGGGTGTGGAGCTTTATCGCTCATCAGTTTTCAATGTAACTGTTTGCCTCTGAAGGAGAACTCACTTAATGAAGCATTCAGCCTCAGCCATCTATTGATCACCCCCTCTCATTTTAACTAAACTCATTAGGGGAAAAAACAGAGGTACCTGTCAATCTCCATACATGGAGTTACATTAGGCTAAAAAAGAAATGCATTACCACAGCACTGCATGAAAGACATGTTTACAATGCATCTTCAAGGATCACAGCACTTCACGTAAGCGTTTACAAGGCCCAGATACAGGGTTATTATTCATGCTAACAGTGTAAGATTCAGAGTGCCTGGTTATATTGTACATGTTTATCTTGTTTGCTTTTGTCTTAGCCAAGTGTTTGTAGTGTGATCAATGCCATGTGTGAGTCCTCGGGGAGAGCGGCTCTGTTAATTAGTGAAGGGAGAACCAAAGTCAATAGTAGGCTGTGTTTTTTGTTCTTTCCTCATTTTCCCCCAAACAAGAGAAAGAAATTGTGCCCAAAATCTGAATAATCTTTAGGCATCACTAAGTGAAATACACAAGAACTCTGGTCACAACTGGGAACATCAGACACCAGGATGGACAGACCCCAATGAAAAGTGCTTACTTTTTTTACACCCACAAATATATAGATATATATATATATATATACACACACACACACGCACACACACACACAGCGAGAGAGAGAGTGTTATGTATGTTTGTGCATTGTGTCTTTACAGTATTTTGAAGCTAGCCACTGTACTCCACATCATCAGTAAGGGAACCTCAAATTCAATACCATGTTTCTGTTTCTTTCTTAATTTATGTCACACAGTAAATGTTTAGTAAATAGCCTCTTTGTAAGCTAGTTATTTTTTATTTACCTCAGTCAGTTTATTAATGAATGCTACATTCTCCAAGGCAATGAGGAAACAACTGGAGTAGCAGAGACATGATCACAAAGTATATACATATATAATAAACATGTTTAACCACCTTTATTTACAGTACGACATGTACATTATGCATTTCTTTGCTCAGTTAATTAAAAAGTTTGAAATATTACCTGGCCCAGTAAAAGATCTGAAAACAGTCACAATTATATAATAAAGGTGTGAGAATTCCTGAAGAAACTATATAAAGTTCTGTTCACGTGTACTGTGATGACTGGATAATACTGCACAAGACAAGCGGCAGCAAACAAGAAACGTTTGTGCAGTCAGCTGATATCTTCAGCTGACTGCACAAAAATTATAGTACTGAAAAAAAAGCTAATTTAGAGGCGAAGCAGGTCAAGCCTGGTTAGTTGGTGGGAAAAGAGAAGTTCACATATGTGGCTTCAAAAAACTGAAAATAAGACACACACTTAAAGTTGTCCCCAAGCATTTCCTTCCACTCAAATCCGCTGTGATTTGATAGCAAGATGTCAACACCTTTCAACACACTCATACACACATAGGTTTTTCTTTCAAACCAGTTTCCATAATGTAGATTAGAGGCTTTTTTTTCATCTGAAGACACAGTCTACTCTATCAGCCCTCGGGCTGTCCCACTCTGGCCCACTTTACTGGATCAGTATAACAAAGTAAAACCTCTAAATGACAGAGATCAAGCACTCGTCTGATATGATAACGATTACTATGTGCACATGACAGTAAAGACGGGTGTTAGATAGTCTGTGATCTAGCTTGCTGTGGGGAGGGAAGGGGCAAGCTGAGGCATGCTGGGAGACTCCAGCACTTTCCTCTGATAGTAGTGTAGATCAGAGGAACAGAGGAGAAAGGGAATCCTGTGTTTTCACTGATCTGATATTGTGATTTAATGAGCGAGGTATCGGTCAGTGTAATCTTAGATGCCCTCAGATTCTCTGGAAAGGATGTGTTCAGAAAGGAAAAATAAAACAACACAGGTAAGGATGCTCTTGCTTTATGTGTGAGTAAAGAGCACATGAGTGACAACAGCATCTTGGTTATTGAATGTGAGTGAATAAACTCAGATCTACTGCTGATTAAAAACCCCTTCAGTCACTTGAATCCACAGAAAAACTGTTACAGCAGTTTCCCTTATTGTTTGATATTCCCTTTGTTATTTTGAAGCTGAAATCTGTATCTTGCTAAATACCATTATTTCTTGTTCTCTGTACTTTTGACAGACAGGACCGGCATGTTTACTTGCTGTTTATTAGAGCGAGTGAATTACTTCAATATCACAGAAAGAATTACTTCAATATCACAAAATATACATAATTCAACTTCAGTGTGTAAATGTATTACTCCAGTCAAAGATGTGATTCATTGCAAGACATGTTAATTCATCTGCCATTAGCACACAACAACATGGGATGCCTTATGAGCACCATTCTGGCTCTTCTGCCATCTTTGTTGTAGTTCAGCTCAACACTTAAAGTATTTCAAAAACAGCTGAACTAGTCATTTCATCTGTACTAGTAGACAAAAAAAAAAAAAAAACTGGCACCAGAGAATGAACAAGACTGAAACTTAAACTTGTGTAATGTCTGAAGTAAAATGCAAAGTTAAAGGAAGTCCTGCTCCAGTAAGGGAAACAAGCACCATGAATGAGTAATGTATCCTCTTCCTTCAGCATGAAAAAGCCCTTTTCTGCTTCCAAATAAGTTGAAGGCTCATTTGCTCCTTCATGGGTTTATACCTTTTTGTAAACCCATGTAAACTTCTCTCAGAGCTCTTGAGATAAAGCCAAGAATGCTTTGCCATTCAACACTTCAGTAACGCTGTTAAGAAGAAGAGTGGCTATACTTAGTGTGTGCTCCACTTTCCCTGGAGACATTACAGTTAAAATGCACAAATGTGCATGCACACATATTGAAGTGAACACTGTCTCTTACCGTCTTGTTCTGTCTTAGTCAGCTCCACAAGTTTCTTCTGTTTCAGTGTGTCCACCACGTCTGCCAGGCTGCCTTTGCGGCGCTCCGGCGTTCCAAGGGCGAGGCCCATAACAGGCTCCCCACGCTCCCTGAAACACTCCTCTGGCTTGGGTGGAGAGGTAGAGTTAGTCCAGAAGGAGTACACTGAGCAGCCTTTACTGCCTTCATTGTCCTGGGAAGAGAGAGCAAATGAGGGTTTAAGGTTAGCAGCGGTACAGGGCATTTGATTACTGGATTCTTTTATGCGATCACCAAATGCATTCCAGGAATGTGAGCCATTCATTTTTCTTTTTTAACATAGCGCAGACAAATAATCCCACAGCTCTCATAGTTATTTACTAAATACCCCCTTAGTATTTTTTTGGATTTAGCATGAGCTGGTTGGCATGACGTGGGGAAAGATCAAGCTTAGGATCAGATTTTGCTACTGACAGAATGTGATGATTGTAGTACTTGATCCGTCTGTCAGCAGGAGCTCTGAAGTGTCAGTTTATTACATTTCTTTATTATTGGCTCCATCTATACTTCGTGACCCACGAATGGAAACTAAGGCTGCTTCTGAATCACTCTAAATAATTCCACACTCAGTGGTGAGTGTTTTGCATATAAAGGAAGAACGTAAGCTGAAAAAACTCTGGAGTAAATACAAAAATACTGATTTAATCAAGCTCCATTTATATATAATAGGTCAATGTCAAAACTTTGTCTCAGGATTTTACACCCTTTGACATAAAAATTCAGATAAGGAAAAAGGAAAAAGAGTTGACAAGCTTCTGGACTTCTGTTTTAAATTTGATTGTCAGGCTAATAATACATATTTAATGTTGGCTTATCTCTTCATCTACATCAATAGACACTTATCTGAAGTAGTGTGAAGCAGGACTAACTTAACTGATGACATATTCAGCATGGATCACTGCTGTGTATTCTCACAGGTATGATCTAGTTTGACCTACTGTGGGTCTGTAAACATGAGGCACCTAAACATTCACAAAGGCAGTTTTCATGAGAATTCTAATGAATAAAAGTGACACAAACCCAGACAGATATCTAACGGGCCTAGTTTGTGCTCTGTGGCCGAAGTGTCTGTCACTGTCTGTCACTGCTGTTTGCTCTGCTGGGTTAGGAGCTAAGCAAGAGGCACAAGGAGCCTATATTTACCAAGAAGATAAACCCTTCAAGACAACCACATTGTCCCACACAACAGACACGTTAGCACAGGTGTTCTAACACCAGGGCTATTTCTGAACACTTTCTCCTCCCTTTACAGAGTGGGGACGATCCGCAAGAACTTTATGAGGCTTATGTTTCAAAGACAAGGGGCTTTGGCTAACAGCAGGATCTTAAGACGCCCTTGAAATGGCACCAGCGGGGCCGTTTGTGCACTTTGTCTTTAAGCGGAAGATGCCTCAATAATGAGGATTAGGAGATAGTGTGTCACTGGTGGAAGGCCTGATGGTCAGATCACATTAAAAACCAAAAGGTCTTTCCAGCAGACAGTGAATGTGGATCACCAGCCTTGTGATCTTGCAAACTGTCCTTGGGCAACGTACTGAACCCTGATCCAGTCACTGACTGGATGTCACTTTGGATGCAAAGGCAACACTTAAATGTAAAAATGAAAAATATGACTATGATTATCAACAACTAGGCCCAATTTATAAACTATTTCTTCTCAAAACCTTTTTAAGAAAGTTTGTAAGATGATGTCTCAGTGTATCCAAGTACACTTCCTTTACTTTGGGAACTTTTTGGCAAAGATATGTTTAACTAAAATCTGAAACTAAGATATACTTTTTATTTATTTATTTAATTGTCCAAAGAACTCTGAATGTGTCTTGCCAAGATTATTTCAAAATTAATGGAGCCTGGTGAGAGGATAAACAGAAGAAGAAGGGTGTTTCATCTTTGTTTGCTAATCACTTTTGCCTTCTAAATCCTTAATATGAAATGGTAAAATATAAATAATAATATAATTGAATGAAAATTGCAAGTATATCATTATGTTAGTAAAATCGGACATTACTAAATTCATTAACATAGTGAATAGGACTTCTGTCTGGGAAACGTTAAATGTATTCTCTCACAATATTCATAACTAGGAAAACTATTCCCAGAACATTTCACTTTCCTCAGAGGCTGAAGTCAAACATGCCTCGTCCACTGACGCAAACTTACTAACACCTCAACATGCAAACACACACACATGCATGCACTCTCTCTGACATGCACACGCACACAAAAAACAGGATAAAAAGGAGATGAGAAGAACCAAAGGATATAACTCTCTAGAGGAGAGTGCTCACTGCCGACAGCACTGCCTGGAGCACACAGACCAGACTGAACCACTGGTGTGTAAGTGTGTGCTCACACTGTTTGGCTGTGCATTTACTGTAAATGTGTGCACAGTCAACTGTGCACAATCATCATTATGCATATGCTTTTTGTATTTCATGAGTGTTTTATGAGCTGTTTGCCTTGAGTGTGTGCACTGTGTACACATGCTAACCACATTTGTTTTATAGATTTGAGTTAAAGCAACATATGTCATGATAAGATATGGTCAATTTATGTAATTCAATATTAACCATTGCAGCAGGCCCAACATTCTCCCAGTCAGCATCAGTCCGCTTCTCTCTGATTGGCTGCAGCTCATCAGGGTGGGTTTGGTCATGGGAAGAAGGTGACAGCGTCTCCTTCAGGCCCTCTCGCTCATTGTTAGCCCAGGTTGCACTGTCCTGACCTATCATTTCCTCATCCTCAGGCGGTGGGCGAAAGGGAGGCGTTGCTTGCATGGAAGACATCATTCTGTGAAAGAGAGAGCAAAGGATTTTGATTTAGTAGCCACAGACTGTGGAGAAGAAAGGAAAGTTCTGCACAGCCTTGTCAGCCATAATGCAGGAAAGTTTTAGTCACTGATTAACTGCTGAAGGTTGAAGCTTGTGCTGCTGATGTCATAATGATGAAGAGTGAGAGATATTGATTTCCTGTAAGACTGAAACCAAAACCTTTAGAGACCTTGGTACAGTTATTGTGGAACACTACAAGCACTGAAACATTCTTTGGCCTGTGACACACCAAGCCTACAGATGAAACGGTCAGCCATCAGTGAGCGTCTTTTACCTTTGTCTTTGGATAAGGATAAGGATAATCACCTTTATTGGCCAAGTATGTTACACACAAGGAATTTGGTTCCGGTACAGAACCAATGGCAGCCATCTGCGGCGCCACCTCAACCGATGGCTCTAACCATCGGGGGCAACGGGGGGTGGGGGGGGGTGGGTTCAGTGTCTTCCCCAAGGACACTTCGACACGTGGACTGCCGGCACCAAGATTCGAACTTTCAACCTTTTGTCGCCTCCCCAATTTGCAGTGTGTCCCACACCACTGGCACTAGCCAGACAATGGTGGTGGCCTTTCAGCTGATTCAGCATGTTAAGGTGGATCCCATTGGTAAGAGAGACCACTCTGACTGGCCTATCAGCTTAGCAAATCAATTCACCAGAACAGAAAGGTTTGGCATTGAGCCTGACCCTACAAGATTTCATCCATTTAGTGTGGTTTTTCCTTTCTTCTTCTACAACCAAAAGACCACGGGCAGATGCGCTAGCGTATGCGCTATTTGGCCGTTCGCTGTCCACTTATTAAGTAGTGACATAACATTCCATTGTGTTCATTCTCAATTCAATATGCCATAATGTTGTGTTCCCCATTGTTTTGACAGATCAGTCAAACATCCTGGATCAGCTATCATTTTACCACTTTACCTTAAAAAAATGGCTACAGTTGATTAGGCAAGCCAGAGTATTCTTAAATTAATACTTAATTTAATAAAAATAAAACAAAGATGTGCTGTTTTGCTGCCTTGTGATGTTTATAATACTATCAAAAATGTAGGTATGTAGGCAGGTAAAGTAATTTCAGATTTCAAAATCCACAAACAAAATGCTGTTGGAGATTTCAGAATCATGCACTTGAATAGTTTATTCAACAACTTTGTTTAAAATGCAGAGACATGAATACTAAAGATGTTCACAGTCACAAACTATTTAAATTATGTTATATTTTTGGTAATTATTAGATGCATTCATTATGAGCAACTAATAACAGTTGCAACATGCTGAATGTTCCTCTCTCTCTCATATGCACACACATATATTAAGCAAATACTGCCATGGGGATAATCTATTAATCTATTAAGCACCATCAAGGCCTCTCATCACCTCAGAGCAAACACAGTGCTGCCAGGTTTCACAGGAAAAGTCTCTTTTTTATATAAGCCTCAGGCTGGGAGAGTCATTAGACTACTACATCATGGCTTCCCTTTGCTGTACTGCACTTACAGTATAAGAACTTTCACTGACCACATTTATTCCTTCAACCCTCTTCTCCAATCTCAGCTCTAGGTTCTTAAGTTAAATTTAAACACAACTTGGAAAACATTCACTATAACCACCAATAAGCTATTTGTGCATCAGTATGTACAGTTTAAGTGAGTGAGCTGTAATGCATCATGTAAAAAAGCCTATTTCCAGGAGGGTTTGAATGTTGTAAAGTGCTTCTGAGGGTCATGATCTTCTGTGGATATCGTCTTTTACTTTCTGTGCCAGAATACAGCTTCCATTGACTCTGGCATGCAGGTTAAACAAGAGGATGGCTGAGCGTCACGGCATGAAAACTGACACCTGCTCAACCATTACTGTAAAAGCACACCATCATCCACTTACTCCTGCAGATTGAAAACCAACTGCAATATAATAATAATAATGTCTAATTTATTCAAACATACACAAAAAATCCCAGTCTTCTTCTCTTGTTCATGGCCAGTGTCATTATCCCAGGCCTGCAGGACTGCTGTGATTCTGACCTTTGCATGTCATACTGTTCCCAAAGATGAACATAAGGAAACTTCTACTATCGCTTAAGTTGGTCCAAGGGAGCACAGATTAAATACTTAGATAATATAATTAATAATTTTATATATTAAAGCGACAGTAAATCAAGGTAACGCTAGCATGAAACTCCAAATCAAACCTCGCTGCTCCACTATGCCCTGTTTCGCTCTGCCCAGCTCTTCAGATAAGTCTCGTTATGAAAAAGCAATGAGAATGCAACAAAACGTAATGATTAAGCAGAAATAACTGAAAATCTCTGACTGGTTAGATAGGTCAGTCCTGCTCTAAAACTTTTAGAAGCTAATATCTCTACACTGCTGCCAGTGATGTTCAGTGAGTCTGGGTCAGGAGGCTTCAACAGCACCTCTGCACAGTTTTAGAGCAGATTTCTACAACAAAAATATATGAGAAAAAAAAGTTACATACTGTAGCTTTATCAGAGGAGCAAATGTCTATGAATGTGCACGTCCCCATGAGGACACATGCACCGATAATCACAGTGTCACCTAACTCCACAGGTTCTCAAAGTTCTATGAAACATTTTAAGATCTTTTAGCTCACTGTTTTGGTTTTACAGCCTGAAATCTTTCTGTGGTGGTTCACTCTCATTACTCTTCTCATTACTCTTATAGTGTGTTTCCAGGTGTAGCAGGCAGCTGTTTTCAGTGAAATATTGAAAGCTATCTTCCAAGAATGAGATTTCTACTAAGAATTTCACCTTATTAATGTAAAGGTTAAGATACTGTATGTCAGTGTCGTGTTTATAGCTTTTAAAATACATAAAGAAATTGGAAAATTGCTGTAATTCCAAAGCAGCGTCCTAGAAGTTTCATAACTGCAGTAAAATAATAAAAGAAAATTTCTTCATGAGCAGAATAATCCCAAAATGTATTGTATAATATTATGTATACATAAGTGTACACTTTCTGGTTTCTATCACCATGGCTGCAACACTTGGTACTGTAAACCTGCATGGCTCCTTAAAAAGATTTATCCTAAATTTCTCCTAAAGTCTCGGCGCAGTCTGGTTGTACTAGACAAAAGATAAGCTGGTTTTTGGTATTTTGTTTTGAATCCGTCTTTGAGCGATTACGCTTTTATTTATTTTTACAACTTTCTACAGGTGCTGCTCTCCATATGTAGCCTGATTTGACAAACTGGAACAGGAAGAACTGTTCCACAACTGAGGTTTAAAGTTATGAGTAGATGAGATCATAAGACCCTGAACAACCAACAAACAGCAAATCACTAATCCATAATTAACTACTGCAATCCACACTGGAGTGACGAGAGAGCAACGGGGAGCAGGGGAGGGAGAAGACAGAAGAGAACCTATATTTAGCTGACAATATTGCTAGTGCTGTGTTTATCGGGGAGCTTAAGACCAGCATGCTGTCACTGATATGGTCTCATCATGCAACAGTACAGGGGTTTGTTGCCACAAGGTCTTCATGCAGGAAAAACAGTATACTTCATGCACCTATCATCAGGCAAAGAATTCCATGACTGGTGTTTAGATAATTCCACTATTTAACTAACATTGAAAATATTATACTCAACAATTATTGTTTTGTGGACTGAGGTTAGGACCTGCTGCTTTTGTTAAAATTGTTGTAAAATTGCAAAGCTTCACCAAACTGCAGTTGATTTTAAATGATTTAAAATTCTCTGGGTGTTCACAAACAGTATTTGTTACCTTCAGAATTTATGCAAAATGAACACACAGGTCACCCACGTTTCTGAAGTAATGCTAATAAAACATACATGCGTCTTCATGCTAATGGTTTGGGAATACATAATGTAAAAAAAGACTGTGTAAATCTGTGTCCAGCAAACCATAATGCTTTGCTGGATGCAAAAAGAAAAAAACATTATGAGTTTTGCAGACTGAAAGTTTAAACAGCCTTTTGCGGTCAATCAAGTCAGACTATCTTTGAGTCTGTCAACAAAGATAAAACTGCACTACAAAAGATACACAGACACCACGAGAAAAAAAAGTTCTACTTTCTAAAAATAAAAAGCATTTTGGAGAGCTACGATTTTTCTTCTGACTGCAGCTCTTACGCCTGACAATATTAGGCCTGTCCCTACTGAGACATAGGAAGCAATTGAGTGATTACAGCAGCAGGAGCACCCTTCTCCCAAAGAGCCCAACAAAAGAATGAGCTCGGCTTCATGGAGACACTCTCACGAAACAGTAATGTGATGATAATGTCACGCTGATAGCTGAAAAACAAATTCATTTTTCACACACACATCTTTCATTGCCTTGAGGCTCTCAGAAAGCCTTTTCATATTGTATTCTTTCCCCTGGAAGCTATTCTCCTAAGATATTACGTGGAAAGTTATACTGGTGAGATTGCCTTTCTGATAACTAAACACTGCCTGCACTGTTGATTGAAGAATTTTAATTTTTCATCCTCATGCATTTTTGAGTTTTATGAGCATGACGTCAGGAAGATGGTTAACAGCTGATGATAAAATCTCTGTTGAATACATGCTATATTCCTATCAGGATAAATAATCACAATGAAGCTATGCTCAGCAATGTTACTTACTGTTCCTTTTGAGCATTTTGGTTTAAGATCCCTTCCTTCCTTTGTTGCCTATAAAAAAAATCTTCCAGCCTTTAGCTTAAACACATGTTCAACACACAAACTGCTGCTGGTGGCCAGCTAGCTAAGTCTCCCTCTACAACATGGACAGTAACTTAGAATCCCTTTGTGAGTGAAAGAAAAACGAAAACCAGGGTCGGAATTTGGCAGGAAAGTGTTGTTCAGATCTGGCCTGGAACCTGGCGGCTTGGCAGAAACAATCAGGCATTGTGGAGTGTGGACGGAGAGGGACCTGTGACAGATGAGAGCTGCAGAGAGAGGGCCCCCTCTTAGAAAAACAGTACACAAAGTGCCATTC